TATTAAGTTCAGGAAATTCCACTCAGCGCAGTCACAACTACTGATACAAAACAACAGAAGGATACAACAAAAACAACATAAGGGCAAAAAGGCAGCAGCATGTTTTTTGGATTATTATTCGCAGCCAGCATCATATACACCTTTGGACATACTGGGGTGAGTGGGTGTGTAGAAACATTTGTATATTAAACCACAATTGGGCGAGATACCTATCATGTGAGAATACTGTCAAAAGCATCACACTAAGTCTCCCATAATTTATTCATGGGCATATGTGGACAGCTGCGTGCACAGACACACACGTTTCCATCACTTTGGGAGACATTATACAGACTTATAATCATTTCCTGAAGACTCACCTTAACCTCACACTAACCTTAAATTAAGTCATCACACTAAAATGTAATGATTTATACCTTTGGGGACTTGCTTTTTGTCCCCATAAGGACATTGATTCCCCACAGTGTGACTGCGTAAACAGATTTATGTCCCCACAACATGAGTAATACCTGGCCACACACATGCACAGTTATAGCTAAGATGACTTGGCTTAACCTTAAGGATTTTATCAAGACATGCGAAGGCACGTCTCACTAGCAGTGGCTGGGGAGCGAGCAGAAATGCACCTACAAAGGCCACTACAGCAGGATGTTGTGGTGTGAACCGGAGGTGGGTGTAAAGCAAAGGCGATGAAAGAGTTAACCGCATAAAGGGGAAAGATAAACACATTACCACCTCGCTAGTCTCCGTGAGTAACATAATGAACTCCTAATCGCTGCTGAGGGTGTAATTCATCTATGAAATCAGCAGCAAATTGAGATGAGGAAAATCAGTTTCTGATCTATCTCCTGCTGCAGCTTAGCAGCATTGAACAGTGTGCCTCTCAAAAGGTTAGGAGTAACACTGTCCTGTCAGCATCGATGTTCTGTCAGTGGAAAACTTTCCCTGCGCTCAGTCTTGCACACATGGTCTGCCAAGCAGCGCGGCAGCTCATGAGTCCAACAGATGAATGCATCTGTAGTCTACCCGGCGTTGCCCAGATAAGCAATGACTTGCACAGAAGGTCAAAATGTCATATTCTCAATCAACTCCAGCAGCACCCAATGTCAAATGCTTTGTTGAGTAGAGCACAGCTGTCAAGAGATGGAAAGCGTTGAATCAAACTTCTATTTACCCCCTCCCCTGTTTTTGTCCCTGCCTCCCTCCTCCTCCACCTCCTTGACCCCCTCGTTTTGCTCCCTAGAATAAGGCATAAGTATGTTGAGCCTTAAGCATGAGAGCCAAGATAATAGCATCTGGAGCTGCTGCCACCCCCCACCATATCATTCCTGAGGCAGATTCTGGCACTTAACACCAACTCTTCCTCATCCTTTATATGCCTATTTCTGTCTGTGGGGCCCTAGTGTGGGTTTCCATGCACACTGGAGCCCTGTGATTATGAAATTAAAAGAAAATTAACCCATAACTTATTCAGTCACTCAAAGTGTGCACATGTATATGTGTTCTCTCTTTATGTATTGCTTGTGTTATCATTTTGAGTGTTCACAAATATGCATGTGTGCAGGTGTTTGGACAAGATAAAAACAGGGCTGAAGAAATGAAAGGCAAATTTGTGAGAGGAAGGAGAAAGGCAGACAAAGAGAAGGGTGGTGATAGAGACAGAGAGAAGGCACAGGAAAAAGAAATGACTCACCTTCTCGGCAGATTGGGCTGTGCCAAAGAAAATTGGGATGAAGGCCAGCCAGACTATGCAAGTGGTGTACATAGTGAAGCCAATGGGCTTGGCTTCATTGAAGTCTTCTGGTACATCCCTTGTCTTGATGGCGTAGATGGTGCAGGTCACCATCAACAGGATGCTATAGCCCAATGAGCAGATTATCTGTAGGTCTGTGATGTCACACTTCAGCACGCCACGGGCCAGCATGGGGTTTATGGTTTTCTGCTCATCATAGTCGATGATGGTGTTTGGCGGGTCCACGGCAAACCACACCAGCACACCGAGCAGCTGCACACAGATCAGACTGGAAGTGATGGCGATCTGGGAGGTGGGACTGATGAAACGCGGGGCAGTGACTGTCTGCTTGCCCTGCTCAAAGATCCGATAAATGCGATTGGTCTTGGTGAGCAGTGCAGCATAGCTGATGCACATGCCCAGGCCCAGGAAGATCCTCCTGAAGGCACATACAGCTACATCAGGCTTGGCGATCATGAGGAATGTGATGATGTAACACAGAAAGATCCCGGTTAGCAGCACGTAGCTCAGCTCTCGACCAGAAGCCCGCACAATGGGTGTGTTATTGTAGCGTACCAAGGTCGCCATGACAAAGATGGTGGCAATGATACCAAGTATGGCCAGGAAGACAGGGATTATCGCCCAAGGGGAGTGCCACTCCAGCTTCACTATGGGGATTGGCTGGCAGGCGGTTCTGTTAGCGTTGGGCCTCATGTTGTAGGCACACAGTCTGCAGGAAGTCTCCTCATACTGGTACTGGTAGCCATCACAAAGCTCACAGTGCCAGCAGCACGGCATGCCTTTTACCCTCTTCTTCCTCTCTCCAGTTTTGCAGGGCAGACTGCACACAGAGATAGGCACCTCCTGTTCCCCATCTGGCCACCGAAGCTCCTCCAGCTGGGAGAGAGTGATGACACACAGCACAGGAAGAAGGTTAGAAACACAGATTAAAGATGAGAAATGATGTAGCCAGTGAAAAATACCTGAGCATAATCCATACACTGCGCTAACAGAACTCATTAACTGGCCACTAATTACTTTATTATGAACATTACTGTACATTTTTTTGCAGAAATCAATATCTATTGCAGTTTTTGCAAACATCTGAAACAATGATTAGCTTACTGTAATACAGTACATCTTTCTTGTCGATTTCTTTGAGAGATTGCCTTTTCTAATACTTGACAGTTATTGAAATCACCATGGCAACAGCGCTTACCTTTGTGAAATAAAAATAAAGAAATATGAAATGCAAAAGACATTATGTTTTAATACAGGAACCAGTGAGGTATGAAATATGTGATGTGAGAATGGGGTTTGGGATTGGAAATGCCTCTTCTAGACTTCACAAAGCTATTTCTCTTTATGATTTGGCCATCAAAATGAAAAGTGCAGTATTCAGATGTTCTGAAGAACTATCTGAAAGTCCAATGCAAAAGGCATTGAGGCACTTCTTGATTTAAGCTCAAACTACAGTTTCAGTGTTCAAGTCAGCCTAGAAATGAAAACTCCATAAAAACCTTTTTTTTATTTTTACATATTTTGTTACGATGATTTTTAAAAAGCTTTCATAAAACTGGGAGTTTATAATGAGAGTGTAGTGATCCGTGGCTTTAAAGGTGCCAGAAGATTAAAGATACACTAACATGGTTTAGACAGTTTCATCATAATCTACAGTATCAGCTATGTAACCAAAATAAATCAGCTGGAGTTCAACAAGCAAAAACCACTGAAACATGGAAATCAGCTTAATAGTAATTAAACTATCAAGCAGATTTTTATTGCTCTTCTAAAACTGCTCTGATATCATAGATTTAAAATGCGCTGTGTGAAAATGAGTGTCTGCATTAAAATCAGAACAGATAGCATAAAACACTATAAAAAATGATCATGAATTCATTTTAGTTATAATTTTGTAGTGAAGTGAAGACAATTCATGACTTTTAAGGCACAGTTCAACATTTTTGGGAACTTATTCTCACGGTTAGCACATGATTTCTAACATCTTATCCAGAGTAAACCTGAGTGTGTTTTATTTGGCAACACTGATCCCTGTCTGCTCGAGGTCTTGGTTCTTCACTCTCAGATCAGTGAACCTTTTCCCGGTAGAGGTCCCTATGGTCAAATGATGCCACTGGGGTAAACACGCTGAGTCTGTAGTGGCCCCCGAGACTTTGGAACTCCCTACCTATAAATGTGAGATCTGTCTCAGACCTGTCAGAGTTTAAACCTTCATTAAAAACCTTTCTTTTTTTATTTTTTGGCTTTGGCTTGTTGGTTCTAAGTGGAGTTTACCTATTCTGTTGTTGTTTGTGACTGTCTGCCATCTTATTTTTTCTCAATACATCTTTATTCTATTCTCATTTAGTTTTGTTTTACTGATTGTGTTTTGTTCTTGCAAAGTTTTTTAGCCAATATGCCGCTGTTTTAAAGTGCTATATTAAAAAAACAACTTTGATTTTATCTGATTTGATTTATTCTCCCCCACACTGATCATTATCTGGGTGAACTATTACCATTTTTATATTCCAGTTTATCTGTTTGTTAAATATGAAACCACCACCAAGAGTTCGTTAGCCTAGCTAAGAATAATATCTGGGAGCAAGAGGCAGACAGGGAGCCTGGCACTGTCCAAAGGCCAGACAACCTCCACACCAGCAGCTCCCATACTCTCTAATTAGCAGGTCAGAGTATCTCTCATTTGTTTAATGCTTACAAAATATTACTGTCAGACTGAAGACTCCAGATATTTTGGCACACAGCCCTATGTAAAACAACACAACATCTTGGTTTTTGTTGACAAACAAGATATAACATGCTAATTACTCCGTTTTAATGATGCTGGTAGGCTAAGCCACACTTACCATCTGCTGTCTGTAGCCTGATATTTAACTGATAGACATGAGAGTGATATTGATCTCAACTATTTCTCAGCAAGAAAGGGATCAAGTGAATTTCCCAAAATGTGGGACCGTTCTTTTAAAAAAGTACTATGTTTCTTACTGCTTACTGCATCTTTTCATTTCTGTGTGGTGAAACGAAAGGTAAACTAGTGAGCACGCATAAAAACATGGAAATTCTCGAAGACTAACCACTACCTTTTACGACTTGTAGTTATACATACCATAATCACATTTTAACCCAAACATCAGCAGATAAAAGCTGCACCAGGTACACATGCCATCACATGCACAGGCATCCAAGGACACCAACTGCATCACCGCCTCCAAATGTGGTAACTGACAATAACTGCAAATAAAAAAGCTGAAAACACACACACACATGCTCTCTCTCTCTCTCTCTCTCTCTCTCTCTCTGTCATACACATCTACTGTGTGTTTGTGTTGTGTGTACCTGTATGACAAATGTGTTGTTTCTGTGGTGTTTGGATAGATTATCATCTGCCATTTATCTGGGGTCATAGAGGTGGTGTTTGTTATCTGGACAATGAATGGTGCTCACTAGAAAACCTCCCGACTACACACAGTGTGGAAACAGTAATGAGACCAACAGCTCTGTTGCCATGGATACCAGAAGTAAGATTTTTGACATCTTGTATTCAAATGCCTGCTATAGTTTTCACTTGGGTTTTGCAATAGTTGATCATTTTACAATTAATTTGAGCATTTGTGAGCTGGAACAGCATGATGTTGACCTTTTAAAACAACGATCATGAAGTGTATCAGGATGCTCATTTCACGGTAACCTCTAAATGAAATTTCTCTTTATGTGCTAGAGAGCAAAGTAATAATACCTACTGTATCACAATACAATTGCATGGTACCAGTATTTGATTTGTAATCACAGTAAAACAGAATGAAGTAACAAATCTCCACCTGTGCTATCAAATCAATTTGGCTGAGTTTAGTTCTTGTTATCCAGAGAGCCATTATGCAAATGTTAACCCATCTGTATGTAAATGTCATGGTTTGTTCCTAATCTGACTTGCACAGAAATACATAGAAATTTTAGCTCAGGTTGCATCCTATCATACAGTATGGGTAAATTCAAACTGTGTTTGCCTTGAAATAAAATACAACTCATCAGTTTCTTTATTGTCCACATGAATCACCCAAGTCCATTCGTGTGCTGTGACAATGAAATCTATCACTGTGGCTACAAACCAAAACCGTGCACTTAAAAAGAGCAGCGCAGCAGCTGTCTCCAGCTCTGTGCCTGACAAATATTAGACAGTATTTTCGGCAGGTAAATTATTTAAAGAGGCCATGAAATTAAAAATGCTTTATCCATGTTGTTGTTCCATGGATTCCAATATTTTTGCATATGCTAAAAATGTCAAATAAATGACAGTTTTGCACATTTTATATTAAAATACTTCCCCTTTCCTGAAAGTACCCAGAGCTTTCACATTATTTATTTTGTACGCTTGGGTGTACCGTACTGTTAAATTCCACCTGGTAAAACATGATTACAATTTTTTGAGTTTCACCATGTACAATACAACCTACAGGGATGCTGACAAGTGCCAGGAGTAACATGGGAGTTGTGTGTTTAGGTGTCAGTTTCTAACAACATCAGTGTCTGCAGCAGCTCTGCTGCCAGGGACTGAACATACATGGACTGACACTTGGGTTAGAAATATATTCTTCTTCTTCCTCCTACTCTCTTCGCTGTCAGTCCTCCAACTTATGCAGTAGAGAAAGAATGATCTTGAGCTAACCTTACTGTATGTTTTCTCCCTCCTTTTTTAATGTTTTCAGATCAAGTTCATTCTGATGTTTTAGTCCTAACATCCTTTTATAGGTAGAAAATGGGACAGACTTCTTTTTATGTCAGTACACAATATCATCTTTCAGTTAAACTGCATGTTTTTTTTTTCAAGTTGGGACATTTGATAACCTTATAGAAAACCATATTTACTACAAATAGAAACATTTGTCTTATTAAATAAAGTCTAACAATATTATTTGTACTTGTATGTGGGAATGTGCAACATGTTTAACTATTTGCTTACATTAGTAGGCAACTTGTGAAGTGGTTCTTCATTGTTGGGTGAATATTAAACCTGAAGAATTCTGTACAATTATTAGTTGGGTGAGGCGTGCGACTTCTTTCCTTACAAAAAGATTCATTTTCTGCACCTCAAATACATCAGTCAAACTGAAAGTAAAACATGTCTGTACCTGAGTTCTCACTGTGTATAAGATGAAAATGATGTGCACTCAATTGTCACATTTTAGATTTAAATTTGGGGAAACAGAAAAAAGGCGTCACGCTGTTCAACATTCTCCATTGCTGAGTCTAGATAAGTTGGTTATATACAAGCATACAAACAATACGTGTGTGTGTGTGTGTTCCCAGTATCACTAAATTGCCATACCCTGAGCTGGAGGGTCTCCACCCACTGTCCTACCACCTTGTACTCTGCACTGGAGGAGTTAGTCATCTGGAACTGGAACAGGTCGTAACGTCCTGGAGCATCACCGTTCTTATTAAACACAACAGATGTGCCTGCGCTGCCTGTACAAAGGAAGAGAACGAACATACTGTACAGTAAAAGGACACCAGAGTACAGTAGATAAGTGTAAGACAGTAGTGTGTCAAGGTACACCACCTTTTTTAATAAGAGAAAGACATTAACTTAACCTCTTTCCTCTTATTGTGCAGTGGCCTACATGGACCACATAAGAGTGTGAGTCTGTTCCCCGGAGTTAAAACCTCATGACCTCCTACAAATCTTGAACCATCAAGAAAATCAGAAACAGGGAAGGTAGCTCCCTTCTGACTAGTATGGCACTAGCTCACCTGCTTCCTATGCATCATCACAGCTGCACAATGTCCACTGGAAGAACATATTTTCACATTTAAAACAGGTTAGTGGCGCTGCACTTGTGCTTTAATATTGAGTGAAATTTACAATAAGCACACACCGTCACATGTTAAAAATAACACATTTCAATCACACAGTCTCTCACGGCAAAATATGTAGGGAGGATAAACAGGTCAGCCAAAGCATCACACTGTCTCCATCTGCTCCCGGTGTGGAACAGCCTGTCTCAAGCAGAGACCTCAGGATTTCACTAATTATTGTTGCTTAGAGAGGAATGTGCACACCTGAAACAATACACACAAGAAAAACAATGTTTTGTATTGTAATTGCATATATTGTATTACCTGTCAGTTGTGTCTACTCTAATATACAGTATGTGCGGATATGTGCATGTCACTCAATAATTTGAGCTTCGTGACTGCAGAGTGAGTGCAAGGCACTGGTGCAGATGTCACTCAACATCATCACTCCCTAGCAGAAGTGAATACTGACTGGCATTAATGGGAAAAGGCATTTGTAGTTTATTTTATACATCAGGTCTTCATTGTTGATGAGGCCATTTTTCCATCCCACAATGCTGCTGGAGGATGAAAAACTGCTTTTCATTCACCTTGGCACTGAATACAGTAGTTCATAAGAACAAATGGAGATACCATTTTTGAAACTAGACGAGACAAGAAGGGAGGGGGGGCTTGGCATGGGAATTATCTTCTATAATAGGTCTGGCTATAAAAAGTGTAGAGAATGGATCAAGAGCATATGTCCAAAACACATTAGGGAACATGTTGCCTTTTATATCTAGAACAAAACTTGTGGCTTTTGCTGGAGCGCCACTGTACCTTTCCTTTGTTTTCAGCCAGAAGGGATTTCATCTCCCTCCAGTGTGTTTTTCCAAGGACATTTGTCATTGAACAGTCTACAAAAGTTTCAGGCCAAAATACTCTTGTAACACAAAAAAAGCAGGGGTAGCAAATAAAAAGCCCATTTCAGGAAGCAGAATGAGGGGGATTTGAATAAAATCAAGTGAACAAGGACCCAGATTTTCTTTTTCGACATTGTGACACCACTGTGAATTACAAATGTTCGTTTTAAGGCTTACATAGTAGCTGTTTCCATGTCGATGCAGTGCAGCAAATCCCTCACTATCTGCTGTTGTGCAAAGTGACAGTGCATCCATGTTCAGAGTGCAGAAATGGCATCCCTGAGGTAATTTGACACATTGGTTTTTCTGTTTTAAAGTAGAACACTAATTCATTGGTATCCATGTGCTGGCACAGAAAAAAAAACTCTCTCAAAATGAAAGCAAATTACAACTCGGTGCTGTCCCGTCACTTCTGTTTCCACCAGACAGACAATAGATTTGCTGACACAGAGTACAAAGATGTTGACAAGGTACTGACTCTGTGAGCAAAAGCTGTGACAGGGATACCATCACATGCCCCAGCAAAACTATAGCTTACACAAATACAGTATACATAAACACAAAGCAAAGTGACATGATTGATTGGGCACTTGGCACGCTTCAGATTTTATAGCAAATAATTAAGTGGTGTTTGTGTGTGTCCAGATAAAAAAAAAAAACAATGCTGAAAAACTTAGAAGAAAGCATCTGGACGTAGTTTTAGGCAGGTAGTTTTCTACCTAAAACTACGTCCAGATGCTTTCTTCTAAGTTTTTTTTTTTCAGCATACTACGACCTGGATGACATAAAAAAACAATAAATATTGCTTTCTGTTTTCTATTTCTGATATTTTCAAGGGAACAAAATGGTCGAACGCTGTCTAAGATGAAAGATTTATGCATTTGCATGTGGCGCTGAACTAAGACGTGACAAAAGTGAACTGCTGCTGTGGTGAGCCGAGCAGTGTGGGTGGACTCGGAATCCACCGCTGTGTTTCTCTCACATCATTATTCTCTCACTTTTTTTCTGCTTCTCCCTCTTCAGCTCTGTGACTCCAGCACAGTAGGGAGATCAACAAAAGGAGGCTCTCACTCCTTCACTCTCCAACACACATTAGCAGTGGCTCATAGAGAGTGTAATCTATGTGGTTCCAGTCTAAACGCAATAAGGGGCGATGAGTTATGCCTGACGGAGCCTCAACAGAACAACCTTCACTCACCAGTAAAAAGGGCTTTTATTTATTTTTATTTTATCTTTATTTTAACTAACTTTAGGTCTTTCTGCAAATGATTCCATGGCCAAGGTATATAGTAGAAAAATGCAGTTTCCCCCAGATTTGTAAAAATTCGAGGTACGTTAAAAAGTAACTACCAGAGCTGAAACAAAAAATTTGCAAATATAAGCAGGAAGTTTACCCAGTATGACTTTATAGATAAAAATGTACCAGTGTTGTTGTCTATGAAGGGTCAGTAATGCCCATCCCACTAACTCATAAAGAGTGGTGAGTAAGAGACTTTGCAATGAAAGACAAGGACGTATGGTACACTGAATCAAGGCTTTGTAAAATAGAGGAGGCTGCATGCATATATAATGTATCACCATAATCAATCACAGGATATACGGAGAATATAAGGAGATTATAATTGCAAAACAGGAAGAGCTGAAGGAGACAGAGAAGGTTCAGATGAAAGGAACCTCTTCTTTGTCAGAGCCACACTGAGGTAAATGTTTCTTGGAAGCTGACAATTCAGAATAGTCAACACAAGCCCAGATGGTTATTGAGATTGGACAGCAGATTCTCAATCCCATGCATGAATCCACACTTGGTTAAGGTCTCCTCAGAATTCTAGCACCGCTCGGGCCATTGCATATATTCTGTTTATGTAGTTCCACCTTAAAATTCGAGGTCTTCTCCCCTGCTGGAGCTCTGCACCCTGCCATAGTGACAGTGTTATTTAAAGGCAGACGGTTCTTTAGCCTTTAGCTTGCTGACAGAAGTTTGCTCTCTCCCATTTTTTTAATATACATAATTGTAAAATGTAATTTACAATTATGTATATCATCAATTACACCTGTTTGATAAAGTGCTTACAAAATAAGCAATGTACATTATTAGAACACACAAACCTTTAATGGATCAAGATCATTTAAGATCATGATGTCCATTGTTAGACATAGTCTCCCTCTCTCTCTCTCTCTCTCTCTCTCTCTCTCTCTCTCTCTCTCTCTCTCTATAGATATATTATTGTTAACTTATTTCATAGAATTTTTTTCTTTTGCCAAAATAAACTCCCACAGTCCAAAGCCATGCAAGTTCAGATGACTGACTCTAAACTGCCCATAGCTGTGAATGAGAGTGTGGATAGATTGCATCTCTTTTTTATCCAATTCTCTGTCCTATTTTAAATGCACATCATTTCCAGTTTTCCTATTTTGTTGCTGACTTACAAGCACATTGAGAGCCTCTGTACCTGAGACAAATTCCTTGTGTGCTTAAACATACTTGGAGAATAAAAATGATTCTGATTCTGATTCGGATTCTGAATGGTTGCTTGTCTCTACGTGTCAGCCCAGGGTGTCCCGGGTGTACTCTCACTCCTTATTTTAAACAGGCAAATCTTATCTAGAACATTTTGTGAAGACACGGTGTACTTCTGAAAAGCCTCTAATGATCAATGGCTGACATAAATGCAGAGCACTTGTAATGACAAAGGCTTCTCTTGCTTAAAACCCGTCTCCCATTTTGCTCCTGAATTTCAGAGCAGTTGTCATTAATAGCTGTTTGCTATTTACTGTCATCACTGTCTGTACAGGGCTGAATTATGTAGAGGTTCAAGTACTAGCAGATCTACTGTCAGTACGGAAAGTTTTCAGACCCGTTCAAGTTTTCCACATTTTGTTATCTTTCAGAATTATCTTAAAATGGATTCATTTCATTTTTTCCTCATAATTCTACACACAGTACTTCACAGTGATAATGTGAAAACAGGATTTTTGGAGTGTTTTGAAAATGTATTAAAAATGAAAGACTGAAATGTCTAATTTACATCAGTATTCAGACCCTTCGCTTAGTACTTGGTTAAAGCACTTTTGGCAGCAATGACAGCCTCAAGTCTTCTTGAGAATGAAGCTGCAAGCCTGGTACATTTCTTTTGGAATTTTCTCCCATTCTTCTTGGCAGAATTGTTCAAGGTCAACCAGGTTGTATGGGGAGTGTTGGTGCGCAGCCATTTTCAGGTCTCTCCAGAGATGCTCTATCGGGTTCAGTTCCAGACTCTGGCTGGGCCACTTCAGGGCTTTCACAGACTTTTCCCAAAGCCACTCCTGTGTTTTCTTGGTGGTATGCTTCAGGTTGTTGCGTTGTTGAAATGAAAAACCTTTGCCCCAGCCTGAGATCCCGAGAACTCTGAAGAAGGTTTTCATTCAGAATTGCTCTATAGTTTTCTGCATCCATCCTTCCCTCTATCCTAAATGGTCTCCTAGTCTCAGTTGCCACTGCTGTATTTCACTGTGGGGATGGTATTAATGAGGTGAGTCTCAGTGCGTGTTTTTTTCCATACACGCCGTTGGGGGAAATGGTTCACTCTTTGCTTCATCAGACCAGAGGACTTTGCTTCTCATGGTCTGAGAGTCCTTCAGGTGCCCTTTGGCAGACTCCCAGTGGGCTGTCATGTCCCTTTTAGTGAGGAATGGCTTCTGTCTGGCCGCTCTGCCATAGAGGCCTGATTGGTGGAGTGCTGCGCTGATGGTTGTCCTTCTGTAAGGTTCTCCCATCTTGAGAAAGGAAGGATACAGACAGGGGTGTGCCTTTTCTAATTATATCCATTGCATTAAATTGGGCACAGAAGGACTCTAATCAAGCTGTAGAAGCATCTCAAGGACTATTGAGAGTAGGATGCTAGAATGCACCAGAGCTCAATTGCAAGTGTCATAACAAAGGGTCTGAATACTTATGTAAATGGGATGTTTCAGTTTTTTATTTTTAATAAATGTATGAAACACTCTAAACACCTATTTTAACTTTATTATTGTGGATTATTGTGTGTAGATTGATGAGGAAAAAAACTGAACTGAATCTTAAGATGAGTCTGAAACATAACAAAATGTGGAAAACCTGAAAGACTCTGAAAACTTTCTGTACTGACTGTATAATATGTCATAGTAACTCAGAATATTCCACCAATCCAGAAGAGGCTATCGTGCTTTGGACTATAAATGAAGTTGAGTGTAAATTTAAATTATAGGCAACCCACAATCAACTGCATGTGGAAGTGGAACAGTATGCATTACATAATGCAAACATTAATATGCTAACGTTAGCTTGCTAATCTACACTTGGGGCAAATTAATGTGTGCCTCAAAGTTTAAAGTAATTGTTTAATGTTTAAGAAAATAAGCTTATTTGCTGTCTTGATGAGATTTAGATATCAAGATCCAGATGTGAATTTAGGTACAGGCAACATAGGAAGCTGCCCAGGGCAACATCTTGCCGGGGGCGGCACAGCACGCTTGCACAGAAAAATTCCGAATGGTGATGATATTGGTGTGACATTTTTATACTTTGGATTTGTTCAGATTAAACAAGCAGCATATAACGAAAGATCTAGGCAGTTTAATCTTGTTTTCACTACAGCTGGATTTACTGTACAGATGTGAAATTGGCATCCATCTTCTCATGTGACTCACGATAAGAAAGCAGCACTATTCCTTTAACTAATGTAGTAGGGTGAGTAAGACAAACTGGGAGAAAACATGATAAATGTATCAACGCAAAGTGTTACGTCCTACTTTTGTTTATAGGTGATTCATCTGTAATTCCAAGAAAATTTAAACATTCTAGTATTTCTCTAATCTACAGTAGGCCTTTTTTTATCGTGTATCTCCACAATAGAGTTTAAAAGGTAGTAGACAAAATATATTGCATGCTGTTCACTGAAACAAAAAAAAACTGAGTACAGCTGCAGTGATGAATGGTAGCGAGTAATCTGATTTTGACTTGCTTACAATAGCCAGTGTAAAGTGTAAAATGTGCTGCAAAACTCAAGTAGATGGCATAAATCAAAAGCTTTCCCCTTCTGTTCTGTGTTTTATACCTGTTATAATATTGACAGACTGTGTTTATAAGTGCTATTGCAAAGTGCGCTCACTGTTTGTGAATGCCGCTCAACACGCCTGCACATATGTGCCAGCAGAGGGGAAATGTGAGGAAATAGAGTAAAGCAGCCTTTTTATTTACTACAGTACTTTTCCCTCCCCTAGTGACACAAAGGATCATGGGATATGGGAAATGGGGTGTCCATAAATAAAACTAATTTGAAAAAGAAAACACTTTATTTCCTCACATATCTCCAGTTTCACTGGCATAAACAAACACATACTTACTGTTTTGTCATCATACAGGATGATGTTCATATACACACAAAGGAATAAATAGCAGTCAGTGTAGAGCGGCGCTCACAATTGCTGTGCCATTTGCAATAGCATGTATAAACACCACCAGGTACAACATAGCAGGTATAAACAGGTATAAAATGCAGAATGGCAAGGGAAACCAGGTAGATTATCACCCGCTGGCTTTCAATAAACATACATTTTGCTCCTCTTATCCACACACACTGTAAGCATGATATGCACTCTTCTATAAAATGTCGCCTACCATTAAAGCTGGTGTTACGTATGAACTTCAGCAGAGTCTTTCCTTCCGCAGACTCCATTTGTGGACAGATGCCAGGATGATCAGGACATAAGTCCCTCTGCATGTTATGGAGAGCATGGGCCATGGCGTACACCGCATCGATCACAAACTGCACCTTCCCTTCCTGCTCGTATTTGGAGTCGATCCCGATACGCTCCTGGCCTGAGGGGAGAAACAGAAGGAGGAGGGCTAACAGCCAAATACGCCATGAGCCATTAGACATTACGTTCTCTCAACCCTCTCCATCATCTCCAGCTTGTTTTTATTCCTCTATTTATCAATTTTCTGCCAGTTAATCAATTTCTGATTTAGAAGAAATTACACCTAAATGGGCAATGTGGCATAGGAATTAACAGGACAGTAGAAAATATCAAGCTGAGCTGTGAGGCAAAGTGTTAGTGATAAATACAGCAGACTCCCATTGAATTACTGCAGTGTGTTACAAAGTAATAGGATCCTAAGAATGGACCTCATTTGTCCCAATCTCCAAGGTGATGAAGATCACCATGAACTTTAGTAACATACTTTACTACAGTGGTTTCCTTCTCTTTTATATCCTCCCTCCAGTGCACTGCCCTTTCACTATGGGATGCTGTGGAGGTTTTGCCTCCATGCTGCTGATACACTGCTAGAATACATAATGAACATCCTCAGCTGGATTGTTGTTTTTCTGACAAACTACATTAGCTTTTATACAGCTGCAGCTTTCAAAGAGCAAATGAAAATTACTGCATAACAACGCAAATACTACTATTACTTTTAATAATAATCATCATCATCACCATCATCACCATCGTTACCATTATCATCATAATTATAACATTCAAGCTCCCAGTTAACAAAAATGCATCATCAAGAAAATAACTGGATGTTAAAGGTACGTTTTGTCTTCAGTCAGCTTGTAGTTCCCATGGAGAGTTCAATGGAGTAGATAATGTTAACAGGACACATACAGTATAAGAATATGGGGGGCTTTCATAAACTGAAGGAGGTCAAAAGCACCTTCTGTTGACATTTCAGCTCATTTCTCTGAACTTAACATACATTTCAGCCCACACATAACCTTTTTGCTTTTCTGAACTCTGAATAAGGTGGTCAGTGGACAGGCTCTAAATGCAAAAACCTTCAGTTTGCATTTAATAGTCACAAATACCAGCTCAGGTTGAGGCATAAAAATAAAGAATATAGTAATGATTTTACAGCTGTTTTCAGAGGAATTAAAGAAAAGACATTTCCAGTCATTTTACAGAGGGTTTGTGGGGCTCACTAAGCAGACAGGCATCTTTTGTCTCTGATGCATGAGAAAAGATGCCAAACATGAGATTATAAAGGCAGCTAAATCCTTCAGCAAACAGTAATTTGTGTCACAGTGCCATTATTGTCATCAAGTATGCAAGCAAGATTAATACAGCAGCCCACATCACAGGCATCATGCACAAAGATAATAAATGTAGTGCAATGCCTGTCAGACTGCTGGCAGGCTGAGTTTAAGTAATATGAACATGCATCACTGTTAACAGCAACACTGTTATTAATGCTACCAGAAAGACAGTAATAAACCGGAATGAGGGCATGAGCAGTATTTACTTGGCTTTTTGGCATTTTCCCCTGTAATTTCCAACCTAAATAAAGTGTGCTGCAGCTCTCTGCAGTTGGTACACTAATCACAAGTGTGCTGAGTTGTCAAGGTGACTGGGTTAAGAGGGAATCGAGAAAATAAGGGAATTTCACAGTTACAGGACATTAACCACAGGAGCAGGCTGTCTGTAACTGTACTATGACTAATACACGTGGTGCATTATTATTCTAATAATAAACTCTGCCTGTCATGCACCCGCTGGGTAGAAACACCTGGTGTTAGACTTTCTGGCTGCTCTACGGAAAAGAAGGGTTAAACCACAACAGACTAGCTGCATCTTCTAAATCGAACAAAAGGTCACGTTCACATCAACCTAACAAAAGGGGGTGAATTTAAGCATCATATTTCAGTTTTACAGAAATCTGATGATGTCAGAATTAGTGTACCTGTGCATTTACGGCTGGTATCCTCTCTCTTCGAGGCACTGAGGAGCCTGCAGTCAAAATTTTCCTCCCAGAACTCAGCAAACCACACGTTCCTGCGATTGTTCTCGAGGGTGAGTGCAGTAAAGTATTCATCAAACCCTGGGAATAGAGGGAAGAGGAAAATGGCTCAGTTCCGGACCAATTATCCACCACTTCAAACCTGGAGGAAATGAAGTGAAACTTGTGCAGCAGAGTGGTGGTGGCGGTGGCGGTGGTGTGCTGTCGGCCCCTAGGTGCTGGAAGCACACCAACAAATCCTACTTCATCAGAATCTGACCACAGTAGTTCCTCTTCCTCTTAAGCCCAGTGGAATTTTAATCACTTCTTTCATCTAGGAAAATTACGTTAATTAAAAACAGGATGCATAACAAATAACACAGAGACTCTAAATGGTGCTGCAGCCTGTTGGCTCAGGCTGTGAGGTCCTGTTAGAGCCGAACAGGTGTTCTTCAATTCATGGCATCAGTAACAACAGAGGAAGGTTGAAGACATCATGTATTAACTTAACACTCACTTCAGCAGGGCTTTGGTGCCTGCATTAAGCATTAGCTCCAGTAGAGAGAACATACAGCAACAAAGCAAAACAAAAACCCGGCACGTTGAGTTTTGCTCTCTTCTTTGTGCAACTTTGCCACCCAGTGCGGGTCAAGAGCCTGAGCTAGGACAAAACTCGACTGTTACTTTTAGTTTCATAACACACAATTTTCTGCCTTGAGAATAATCTGAATTTTGAATTTTTGTCTCTCAGTCTGTCTCGACTCTGTGTTATCTAGTCATATCAGCTGAGTCGTGGGTAGGTGTAATAATAGCTAATCACAGCTGAATGACTCAGCGGATTGTCTTTTCAAAAGACCATCAATGATACATGGTGGATTAATAATATTCTTCCTGCCTCCAGAACGTACATTAGTCCTGGCTAGACCTGCTTTAATTAAGAAAAACTTAATAAAAGTCAGACTGTCTACTTTCCTCAGTTGTAATGATGAGAGGTTGTTAGGATTATGGCAAAACGTAGATAATGATGAGAATAATCTTATTTATGTGAACTTCTGCAAACAGCAGTATCATTTGCTTCCTTCTTCTTGTGGACGAGCAGCTTTAATCACAGAAAGTGTTTAAGACATGAAAAATAAATAAATGCATGATGTTATTAATTTTCTTAATTATCTCAAACTTATCATTTCAGGCATCATTCAGTAATGATACAAAGACCAGGGATACTCTCCCTCTGCAATTTCTCCTGGAGTCTGGGATTGGAAATGTTCCACTTTTAAGGCAAGTAACACCACAATATGATGACTCCTACATGTCAAAAGCAGTTTACATTCACTGACTTCAACATTTAATAAAAAACGCAGACACTGACGTGACTTTAGTGCAGCCAACAGGCCAAGGACTTTAGTGCTGAGGATTTTCAGCAGTCATTCGTGGAAATGTTGGGAATTGTCAACTACAGTAGAAACACAGGTAGATGAGATGATGAGAAGGAAATTGTGAGGATGTGAAATCTCATTTCAAAACAGAAATTAATATCTACGTATTAACAAAAATTACAATTGCTATGTTTAATGTAAAAGGGGTTATTTGTAATGGTAAGCCCAGAGAGAATTATCACCTGACTCTGCGGCTCCTCTCAGCTCTATGAGGTGTTTTAGCCTCTTTTAGGTCATCCTTCGCTCAGCAGCAAAGAGCAGACAGACACAGCTTGCGATTAGCTGGTGAACACAGAGGAGCATTTAGCAGCTAAAGAGCCAAACAGTTCCCTCAGGAGGTGGTGGAGACAAAAACAGGGCTAAAAGGAGAGGGGATATTGAACTAACATTTTCCACGAGGAACGAGCTACGACTCTAAATGAAAGCTAAAGTTAAAAGCCAGATTGATCTGTGGCTGCTAGATGTGTGAATAGGAGCCGGTAACATGTTCCCCATATCAGCTTTATAAAGTGATAATCAATATTGTGTTTAAAGCTTGCTTTACTGCTCACAAGTGGCTAGAAACAGATGTTGTATTTTTATAGAAACCTTTTGTATAGAATCAAATTTGGTCTGTAAATAATTACACAAACAAAAAAGGCAATTTGTCCCAACAAAACAATGCAACAAAAAGCAATACAGCACAGTAACACTATATAGTGTAGGTCTCTGCATGTGCACCACTGTGGCCATACCTTTAATGGAGGAGCGCTTGGGTAGTACAGTGACTGCTCCCTCTGCTACGTCCTCGAGCTGGTAGATTGGGCTGCTCTTGGCCCCCCAGCTGTCAGATCCAATCCACAGGAAATGGCCCACCTGATTGGCCCTCTTGGTGGCATTGAGAACTCCCCTGCAAGGACATCCATGTGTGAATAAGGAGAGCACAGGAGATGTGTGCAATCTCATATCTATTACACCAAGGCATAGAGTTTGTACATCACAACCCTGTCATCTACAGCTTTTCAATTTGAAAAAGAAAGAAAGGAAACAGCTGCTTTGTGTTATATGGAATTTGTTTTGCTTTGTGTTATATGGAATTTGTTTTGCTTTGTGTTAAGCAAAGTTACTTTAATCTTTTGTTTAGAGATAACAGATGGGGTTAAAATCATTAATCTCGGTGTCTCTCACTCCTTTTTCTTTTCTTTTACATTTTACTAGCACATCAGCTTCTGGAGTGTCTGATTTTACACAAACCAAATGTTTGATTCTGTGTTTCTTTATATAAACACTTTCCGTGGAGCACTGGAAAAAAAACGCATCTCTGTTGCTTTGTTGCTATCTGTATTCCCGTTTCTCCTCTGAGGCAAGGCTTGTGTTTGTGTTGTTGGAGGTGTGTTTATGTAGCAGACATCCTGCATGCGTAGTAAATCTGTACCTCTAGTCTATCATCATGAGCTGCTACTCAGAGATTAAAGACCTGAACATGGCATGTTATTAACACCCCTGAGTGACATGAATGAAGCCAGAATGTGCTGCTCCTCCTCACCGTATGTCTTCCTCACTTGCAAAGATGATGACTGCCCGCGAGTGCTGTGTTTCCAGCAGCTGTTGAATGGTTTTGTCAAAGTCCTCCAGTTTGGGGTTGTGAGGGATTTTCAAAGACTGGGCGATGCAGATTCCACCTATTTTAATGGTAAAAGAAGTAAGAAATGACAAGGCTTCTGGAACAATCTCAGTCACTTTCACACACAGATGTACACAGACACATAAAGCCTGAAGTCATTATAGCTATATGGAATATGGAAATGGAAAACCCATCTGAACACAATAGTGAGATTTTGATGGTGCTGTCATGCTTGCTATCAAATTTAAATGATAGCCTGGAAGTGTAGCATTTACATTTAGGCAATGATCTGAAAACCACAGCAAAGGAACAACAATATAACACTGGCTGTGCCTTTCGACTGAGCACCATCTTCACTGCACAGAGTGAGAGAGATATAAACATATCTGCTATAACAAATCCAATAAGCCACACCACCAGGGACATAAGGCCACAGATGTGATACTATGGATTTTTGAAAATCCAACAACTTGACATTGACTTTACATTTAAAGTCATTGTCAAACATCGATTGTTGGCCTCTGAACTAATCAGATAGCACAGCTGGCAATAACAAACAAAGAGGACATTCACACTGACAATATGTCATTTGTCAAGCAGGTCAACACCGATGCACTTGTAGAGGGTGAAAGATGCCAATTGCTTTTGTGTGTGCTAAGTAGTTATTGAAAGATATTATCTTATTGCAATTGGCTTTTAACAGTTTACTAGATATAGTTGTTTTCAGGCTTCACAGCTTATTATCAGGTAAAAAAAATCATATCTTTCAGCAAATAAACAGGAGTTTTGCTCCACTCTGGTGTGGTAATTGTAGGTGCGAAGGACAAGCTAACATCTGAAGCACTTTGTATAAACATTTAATATGATCACCTGTGCAACAGAACATCCTAAATTCTGTAGGCCTAAACTAAAGAAGCAGTAAAGCTTTACCCAAACCAATTAAAATTTCTCCCACTCAAGCATTTTAACAGCCTACCCAACAACCTTTCAGTCTGAGTTTCCCTGAGTAGACAGAGAAATGGAAGGAATCTCCTAATTGCTAGTCTCCTCAGGCTCATTATTTTGATATAAACAGTTTTTAGCTGGCAGATCACACATCTCTAGTCACAGTTTACTGTGGCATTTCTAAAGGCAGAAGACAGCAGAATGACAACTGCTGAAATTCCTCCTAACTCTCCATTTTTCTAGTATCAGCAGGCAGAATAAGAGCTATTCCTTGATGTGAGGAACTATTCTGTGTCTGCCAAAAGACCTCTGGGATGGCTGCTGTTATCCTTCCTATGTGGACCAAACATAAAAATGGAAATCCTGCCAATGGCCTAGCTGTTGTTCCAGGGTTTTTGGTATCCTCTTAAAGTGAAACATGCTTGGTGTCATTTGCGCAGAGCAGCCAGCATTGTAGGTCTCTGAGGGACGACACTAAAGCTCTGTTTCAAAACACAAATTTCAGCTGATTCCAGCCACAAAGCGTGCAGTATGAAACTGCACTCCCAGGTTTGCTTTTGGAAACTCTAAGCACTGTGTAACATCTGATTCTGGCATATTAGCAACACCTTTCAGTGTCAAGGGGGTAGTACAGTATGTCTGCAGGTAGGCACTGTATCAAACACACATTAATTGTAGAGAGTAAAAAAAAAAAAAAAAAAAAAAAAAAAAAAAACATATAATATGCTGAGACTTAAGCCTCATGAAAATGCATTAGCTCCATTATGGTGAAACTCTGTGGGCTTGTGTGAAGAGTTATAATGGTATAACAGTTTTGAACAGAGATGTATTATAGGACACAACAGCCAATAGTACAGACAGAGACCACAGGAGCCACTGATGAAGATAAGAAGCATTTGGCACATATCCCATCTTCAGAGAGAGAGAAACAGCACCAGGGCTGAACATGCTGTGGTCTTAAGACTGCCCTAGACAGTGGCTAAATTACTGAATGTCTGCAGAATACCTAATGTCAGTCAGTCAGTCAGTCAGTTAGTCAGGGAGGTAGGCATGATGGAAATATAGAAATGTAAGTGTTGTACTGCACTTCCAGAGCTCAGTGTTGGAGATTGAATGGCCTTCACCTGTCACTAGAAAACACTCTGTGGACTTGAAAGGGTCTTTGACTCAAGCTGTGGGTTTAAAGAAGAGACATATGTCTCTCTTGACTGGACATGTGTGATGTGAGATAGATAAATGTCAAGCTCTGGGAGAAGAGAGAGTTCTATTCTATCCAACTTGTTGAAGTCTTAGCCAAGAAACAGGATTATATAGTAACACTTTTCTATAATAACGAACACTCAAAATATTAAATTTGTGCTAACAATAGAAGTGTTATGCTGGTTTGTGACAGTGAAACGTTTATCTGCATTTTATTCATTTGTCTATAATCCCACGGCATAATATCAAACTAAACGCACTGTCAGCCCTCTGCTCCACATTTGATTAATATATCAAAGACAGCTTAATGATCATGATAGCTAAACTCATCAGGCTCTTGAAAGTTCTCCGCTTATCTGTCTGAGTGCCATAGGTCATGCACTGCATTAACTGCTTCAATTATTCATTCTCGGTGCCCTCGGTTTTGAAACTGCACTCCAGGGTGAGCAATCCAGTGTCACCATTTTGCTTAGTGAAATACAAATCCCTTTAAATTAGAGGCTCTTGATGGATTCAACCCCCCCACCCATCTACTAAGCATGCTCCAACCCCAAACTTCCAGGGGGATCCGTGATACAGCAATCATATTTATTACCTCAGCAGTCAAAAAGGAAGACAAACTCCCTCCAGTCTCCTCCCCTGAATACATGAAAGCACATCTAAATGGGCTGGCATGCAGCTGACATTTGAATTCTACACCTGTGTGCTCCTCAATATCCTGAGTGCCTTTCCACCACCAGGCTGGGACTTGGCAATGTGAGGGGCCATGCACAAGTACTGTGGAACCTTTTTATGCTGTTTGCAGATGCATCACGCTTCTTCCCTAGTCCTTTCCTATTGCTAAGTATGAGTACTACATTTTACTGGCAGAACACAACTTGCTGCAATCAATTCCACGATAATACTTTGTGGGAGGCTTTCCTCAAATGCAAGTCTTTTTATCAAATAGGAAAACTGAGCTCCATCGCTCTGACCTAAGCCCAGACAGACACAGGAAAATACAAACTGGATTAATCCCTGCCAGCTTCACCTACCGCCAGGACAAAGGCATACAATGGAACAGTGCCTAAACAGAAGAGAGAAAGCAGAATGAAAAAAAAAGAAGAAGAAGAAGAAGAACAGGTTGACAGGAGGAATCAATACAGGCTGACCATCCCTCCAGTCTCAGCTTGGGGTAATGGGCAACCATATTGCATTAGTGCGCTAGATGGTTCTCCTTGAAGTGGTGAAGCGAGAGTCATACTAATGCATCTGACATTTCACTCCAACCGAACAGAGCAGCCACAAACACTGTCTCGAGGCTTCATAGATCAACTTGGGGGGATGCTGCAACAACATCAACCTAGCAATACCGCTATTGTTCTGCAGTTTTGCTGTTTAAAAATGATGTGTGTTTGATGAAGATAATGCAATTATCTGAGGCTCGGGAGCAGGACCTGACGTGAACCATGTCATTTCCTCTCCTTAGTTATTTAAACCCTTCAAATCAACTCATCCCCACTCCCACTTTTCATTGTCCACCCACTCATTCCCTCCATTTTCAAAAATAAATAAATAAACATACACCTAAAATTTTATCCTTATATAGGGGTCTGCTGGTGCCCTAATGTGGCACAGACCTCCTTAACCTTAAAGTGTTTTCAGTCTCTTTTCATATTCACTAAGAGTTTTCTTCTTATTCGTTTCAGTCAGTTCTGGTGCAGAATCGCTGCCTTTGAACAAATCCTGTAAATGTAAAGTTATGCTTTTACATAATTAATGTGTTTATTAAAGATAAGATGCCTTGGGTACTGGAAGCTTTTCTTTAGAGGAAATGATTCCCATTTGTATGTGAATACAAAATATTACAAATTAACTGCAGCTCAGTAGCAACAGGATGAGTCAACAACAAAAATGGGTAATAACTTCATACTCCTTGTACAATTGTTTGGAAGTCATAATAATATCAGTGTTTTTACACTTCGGTGCAAAGCCAAAACAAAATAAGAACTTTTCCTTA